TTTACTTTTTCTTCCAACTTTTGTTCATTTTTAGAGAGAATTCTAAGTGAAGTAAAACATTATATAAAAAAATTAAATTAAAGCAATGAAAAAGAGCCAGAGGAAGGAATACATAAAAATAAGGAGCAACAGAAAGTCAATACTGAAATGAAAATTTTTACCTCAAAATCTTAAGAGGTACATTCTTCTCCTTCAGTAAGAGTCACTCACGTAAGGGAATTAGTATGTTGAAGTTGAAAAACAAGATTCAATTGAACACTAAGCTTAAATTAGATCTACTTAGCTGACAGTAAAAATACCAAATCAACCTAACACAACGCAGACCATCTTTAATATACAAATATGTTGCTGACACATTATCAATAGCAAATGTTTCATTTGTTTTGTTTTCTTATAGCCATCCACATCCTTCCTGGTCCTACTTAGGACCAAGAAGATGAATTTTTGGCACAGCCAGCCAAAGCAATGAGAAATGTCATTCTAATTTCCCACCATATTGAAACAGAAAACATACAGCTCATATATTAAAATGTATCCTTTGTTAAATCATTCCTACTTCAATCCCTCACTGCATGCCAGGCTGGCTTTATTCTGAAGTGCTACTTTACATACTGTTTGCATTTAGAACAGACAAGATAAGAAAGGAGATTAGCAGAGTATAATCCTTGAACAACATTCCCAAGTGGTTTTTTTCTGCTCCCTATAGTCTCCTTGTTTCCAAAAATAAACAGGTCCATGGGAAGGTTAAATTTTATATTAGAACAAATTCTCTTGAGGCAGTGCTGACCCTGATGATCTCCAGAGCTTCCTTCAAGCTCTAGGACTCCTGTGATTCTGCTCCTTTCATCTTTGCTGACACCTAGAGAACTGGTCATTTACAAAAAAAGAGTTATTTAGCTTTTAGAGTTGAGGTGTCAAACTCAGGCCCATAGGCTTCATCAGCAGCTACAAGGAATGAATCTCTGGGAAGCATATTTTAAAGCACATCCTTTCCAGTGGCTCCATGTGGATTACCTCGCCTATCCAGATCTTCATGGTGACATTAACAATCCCCAAGAGACTTGCAACAAGAAAAATTCAGGGTGTCCTCACTCTTGCTTTCAGAGTAGATTACACATTTGTGAGATAAATGGGGAAATGTGAACAAGAAGTGCATATCACTGTAAGGAATTATGCTTGATTTTATTAGGTATGACAGTGACATTTGGTTACATAAAAAAATGTCCATAATCTTTTACAAGTTGCATACCCAGAAGTAAGTAGGAGTAAAATGACATGATGTCTGAGATCTGCAGAGCTGCTTAAAATACTTCAACAAAAAGAAAAAAAAGAAGATAGATGAGGCTACAAAAATCTTAGTAATTATCAAGTTTATGTATATACAAATTTATATACATAGCAGCATTATTCTACCTTGTATATGTTTAAAATTCTACATTTTAAAAGAAAGTTTAATTAACTTCCCATTACCCATTTAAAGATATTATCTCCAGAAGATATGTGGCTATTGCTTCTCGGCCTTTTGGCTAAGATCAAGTGCAGAAGATATGTGGCTATTTTAAAACTACTTGTATATACAGTAATATATATATAGTAATTTTGCTTTTCACCATTTTGGCTTTTGGACAGGGTTTCCTCCTGGCTTGGTTATTTAAAATAAACTCTCCAACTTATTACCAAGAGTTTTTCCAGGGGCAGAGGGGGATGGAAACTAGTCTTACATAGCAACACATACACTTAACAAACAAGAAAGCAGCTTCAATTAAAAATAAATCAACATAAAAAATATCTCAGGCAAGACAGAAGCCAAGTCACAATTTAACCTCAATTATTTGCCACCCCCAGGATCTGTTTATGGCAACTCCTGCTTTCAGCTCTTTGACATTACCACCACTGTGACTTCTGTTTACTTTTGACTACAGGGAGAAGGGAAAGATTTCATTTATATCTGGGAAGTTGTAAAACAGAAAAACTAGAAACTTAAAACTCTAGCCTCCCTTGGTGCACACGGAGGCCTGAGGGACAAGAGCAGGCTCGAGTTGTCAGATCTTCCTGAATGTGATTATTTTGGTAACCCTGATGGGCAGAAGGTTTGGAAAGGCCATGGTACTCAAAACAACTACTATCAAATGACCAGATGCAAAGGATCAAACTGACTGGATCTTTTGGTCACACCCTTTGTTCCCACACTAGTTAATGATAATTTGACCATGTAAAAAGGAAATTAAGTGTTATATAAATTCCTACCCATACCAAACAGTCCTCTTTGAAAAAAATGAAACAAGTGGCAAGCATACAAGGGCATCCAGAATTATTCAGAAGAGTCAGTCACTTTTAGCATACATTATAGTTTCAATAAAGATTTCAATCTGATTTCCTAATGCTTCTATCATATAATAACACATCATAACGAATACTCACAAATGAACAGCTTCAGCATCACAAGAACCTAGTTGTTTAGAATCTAATTATGTTTAGAAAATTCTGCCTGCTAAGAATTTGTCCTAATTCTTCAAAAATCATGATCCATGCATGGCATAGAGGATAACTCTTAGTTAACCAAAGTAATCAATGAATCAGCACACAGAGTACTTCTTAATTTCTCAACATTCCTAATATGTGAAAGATAAAAACCATAGTTTATTCTTTGATCAGATCTTTAAGATATGTAGAAAATAAAATACCCTAGGAAGTCCATGAACTTGCTATCCAGATTTAATAAATACCAACATTTGATTAGTTGAGATTTTTAAAGCAAGCATTATAAATACAAACTACAGGTTTTTTCCTACATCTGATTCAGCTTTCTCGTGTCTCTCTCTCTCCTTCCATTTTCCTTAAAACACTCCACTTTGCCACACTCCTGTCCTCACCCCTTTGTCTCACAGATTCATCTTTCTCTATTATTTCACAGAAAAATTTCTTGAAGAATCTATACTTCCATTTCTACCTCCTCTCCCTCTTATTTCTTTTCTAATCTATGAAAATCGAGTTTCTATTCACTGGACTCCTATTCAATTCCAAGCTCTCATAAATCCAAGGTTATTTTTCAGATTTCTTATTACTTGAACTCTTTAGTAACTTCTGACTGATGCTCACAGAGCTAGGTGTCACCCAGGCTGAAGGTCCTCAGGACTGCAAATTATCATTTTTAGACAATGGAGATGTACCGTTTTGACTGTGCAGGCCCAGAAGAGGGAGGGAAGGCTATGTGAGGGTCAGTCAGCCAGGACCTAAAAGGAAGGGAGTCAGTTAGAAGGGACCTAAAGGGAAGGGAAGGGAAGGCAAAAGGAAGATTTGCTTTCAACTACCACTTTGGAAAAGAAGGGCTGAATTAAAGATCAGGAATCGTAGTGATAAAAACTCTAGAAGATCACAAATTTATGAAAAAATGTATGTGTATTGTATTCTTTTCATAAAGACCCTAAGGTTAAAGATATACACCAAAATGTTAACTAAATGTTAATTAAATCTCTGGATGTTAAGATTATGGATAGCTTTTATTTTCTTCTTTATAATAATATATATTTTGTTAATTTTCTACAATGAACATACATTTTTTAATAAGAAAAAGGCTGCCCCCCCCACACACACACCAAATAGCAAAAGGTCTGCATGCCTGTATTCCAGGGTAACAAAGAATGGTGTTGCCAGGGAGATGCAGCTCCACAGAATACTTGTGAGAAAACCCCCAGGGAGTGAGTAGGTGTTAGGAGCTTGAAGGAGGAAAGAAAAGCAGGCTGGGTGCTTGGGGCCCAGTCTAGGGAAGAAGAGACCTCACAGGAACCTGTCTGGCCTGAGACAACCCAGGAAGTACCTGGTATTCCCCCTGGACCTCCAGTCAGCTATCTTGGGTGTCCTCTCTATCCTCCCTTCAAGACACTATAAAAATCTCACCACTGCACTGTATCCCACACTACCATGACTCCACACAAAAGGTGTCTCCACTACTGGCTGGCTGACTTCCAATCCAACCTCCACACAGTCCACACAAATACTAGTGTTCTAAACACAGGGAACATTGTGCTTCAAGAATATCTAGAATCCAGAATACTCTACACTCTCAAATGTATACAACCTCTGCTTATGTTTACCAGCTCAACTTCCCAGCCCAGACGCTAGGCTCCAGTTAGTCCCTCTATCCATTGTTCCCCAACACTCTGGCTTTGTGCCTCTGCAAACACTCTTCCCTGGCCTAGAATATGCTTCCCTATCCTTGTCCACGTGGCAAACTCCTATTCACCCTTTACATCTAGCTCAAAAGCAAAATCCTCCATAAAGTACTCCTCGTCACCTGGCTGCTCTCTCCTCTGTAAGCCTTAGTCATTTGTACCTAACGTTTTATAGCACTTCTTATATTATTGGAGCTATCATTCAATTACCTGTCTTCCCTACTAAACCATGAGATATTGAAGGCCCAAAACTACATTTCCCCATGTATCTTAGTGCCGAGAGCCAGTAGGTACTCAAAAAATATGTGATTAACTAAATAAACGAACGTGTTTGTTTTTTACTACATACTTTTACAGATATCTCAGAAATAAATTTTAGGAGCTAAAAATCAGGCACTAACTCATACTGGTCGTCTCTATATGAAACCAATTCAAAGACCTAACTAAAAAGACAGTGAAGATCAAACCAAATATATACCAGGCAAATGTAAGATTTCTATAGTATTTCCAGCTAAGAATCTAAGACTATACCAACTTGGAATTACCAACCTTCTGAAACAATAATTTGAGGATTACATATTGCGGGCAGGTTTTTGTTTTTCCTTTTGCATAGCAGCGGTGGTGGAGGGAACATTGCAAAGTGTCCCTTACAAGGCAAAGTAACTAAAATACGTATCTTCTCTTTGAAATCAAATCAGTAAGAATGGCTGATAACCAGGCAACAGGGGAAACTTAAAATCAACTTCAAGAAAACAGAATCTGCACATAACTTATTTCCACATAGTTTCACTTTCATCAGTGCCTGCCTACCGCCTACATTAAATTTACCTGAGCTAAAGTAGGGACTGAATTTTGACCAGTCTGGGTCTGCATATGAGCAGATTCGCTCTCTGCCACAGAATCTGATACACTTCCATCCTGCTGAGATTCAATTGTTTCCATGGTCATTTGTCTGAAAAGACAATAAAAAGGAAGAAGTATTAAGGCCCTATCTGAAAGATTTCTCTGCTTTTACTTAGCTTTCTGATATTCATTTCTGTCATCAATTCTACTACCTTATTTTTCAAGAAATAGGTTCAGTAGCAGAGTCCTAACTCTCCAAACTAACTCTGCTCACTAGGTATGAACATTACCATTGCAGGAAGCACTGCAAAATGTTTTACGGGAATTAACTTATTAAAAAAAAATATTAATCTTGGGGCGCCTGGGTGGCTCAGTGGGTTAAGCGACTGCCTTCGGCTCGGGTCACAATCTCAGAGTCCTGGGATCGAGCTCCGCATCGGGCTCTCTGCTCAGTGGGAAGCCTGCTTCTCCCTCTCCCACTCCCCCTGCTTGTGTTCCCTCTCTCGCTGTCTCTCGCTCTGTCAAATAAATAAATAAATACTCTTTTAAAAAATTAAAATTAAAAAAATGTTAATCTTATCATAGTCTCCTTAATAATTATTTTAAGCCCTTCCGTATAAATGAGTGGAAAAAGTAGGCTTTCTATTTTACATGAAGTATAAATATTCTATGACTCTCAAGGCCTTTGATACCTGTTTCATAATATATAGTACCAAAGAATTTCCCCATAGTCTAAATTAAATGCATAATATAAAGATATGTCTAGCTTTGCCAGCACTAACCAGTTTCTGATAAACAAGCCTCTCAAACTGAATCATGCAGAGTTGACCACATGTCCTACAGCTTCCCATTTCGTTAAAGAAGAGAATCTAATTTTTCCGGAAAAATTTTGACATAATTTTGTCCATGATATCAATTTAAGTTAATGATTTCTATTTCTATATATAAGATAAACCATATTATAATAAATTTTATCCTACTAGAAGAAATACAAACTACAAACAAAATAAACAAAATCAAATATTAAAAACTTACAGGAACTATTCTCCCCGCTGTTATTTTCAACTATCAATGATACAATGTGTTTTTCTCACTTTAGTAGTCTAACTATATAGCCAAAAAGTATGCAAGCCCCTTAGAACTTTGTATTAAAATATCCAAATCCTTTTTTCAGATTTAGTTACCAGATCCTACAAAGCTTTCATCCATGTCTTGCACTTTACTACCTTCTTTTGCATTTCAATAGTCATTATCTGAATCCAAGCCTTCCATTCTCACACCCATTTATACTGCACTTAAGTTACTTCTATTGAAAATCATTTCAAAACTTATAACATGACAATTTAGAGCAATTATAAATGATAAAAATCTAGTCTACTATGAAAAAATGTCTTTCCCTTACTATTCCCCAGTTCCTTTATCTTTCTTATTTTCTAGAACAGCCTAGGCAAGTATAGATCACCCTGCATAAACTGCCAATTCTTCTGGCTCTACGTTTGCTTATGTGAACAGTTCCCAAACAGAATACCTCAGAACATTTAGTTCTGCAGGTTATGAAAAGGTATTATCTAAAAAAGAGGGCGGGGGAAACAGTGAAAAAGTTCTAAATATCTGGGGTTAAAGGTTTTCTTTGCTGCAGAACTCAGAAGCCTGAATATGCTAGTGGGCCTTCAGAAGGTGGAAGGTGCAGATCCAATAGGAAGCATTTTCCAAAGTATCTGACCACCAAAAACTCTTTTTCCACAAGGCATGTCTTAAAAGTAGTGTTCTGGAAACAACTTGAGAAATGTTGTCTTATGCTATTTCTTACACTTTTTTAAAGTTCTCTTAAGAGCTCTGCCAAGAACTTGAGTCTCAACTCAAAACACTATGCTAGAAGGCCTTCCCCACTAAACTATTCATTTTAGAAACATTTATTTAGCGCCATCTACATGACAGGCCCCCAAAATACAAAAGTGGGTAATTTGCAGCCCTTGCCCTGAAGGAATTCATTCATTAATTGGTCTTTGGACAACTTCTATCAGAAGTTACTTGTTGGGGGAGGCGGGGAGAAGATTCCCAGCTCAACCCCAAATCTACTGAATCAAACTTTCTGGGGCATCTAATTTTTTTTATATCCAAGAGATTCTGATGTATATTAAAATTTAGAAAAAACTTACCTTATTGGTAAATTCTATCACGTAGACCCATAAGGAACACATGTAAAGTAACTTCTTAAATTGTGTAAAGGATGTTATGCATAAAATACTTTGGGAAACATAGGAAGTAATGATTACATCTACCTGAGGATGGGGCCATATAAACATATACTGAACAATGAGAAGAATTTCACCAGGTAGAAGAGGAAAAGAGAACTATGAGAGCAAGGGAAGTATAGAGTGTGGTTGGAAAACAGAATAGCAGATTGTAGTAGAGAATCTAGGTGCCAGGGGAGCCCTATTTAGGTTCAGTGAGGAGGAGGCAAAGCAGGGCTAGAAAGGTCGGATGGAATCAGAGAAAGAATAGCTTTTAAAGCTCTAGAGAGAGGGCACCTGGGTGGCTAGGTCAGTTGGGCATCGACTCTTGGTTTCAGCTCTGGTCATGATCTCAGGGTCCTGAGATCGAGCCCTGCGTCGGGCTCCCCGCTGAAAGGGAAGTCTGCTTTCCCTCTCCTTCTGTCCCTCCCCCTGCTTGTGCTCTCTCTCTCTCTCTCACTCTAAAATAAATAAATAAATCTTTAAAAAATAAATAAAGCTATAGAGAGGGAAAAAAAGTCCACCTCACTCAGATGTCTCCTCTACTCTAGGTCCTTCGGTGTGTATTTTGTCAATCTATACTGTATAACATTTGAACCATTTGATACCCATGTAGAATTCAGTCAACAACTGAATTATAAGCCAAAGTTACCTGTTAATACGCAAAACAAATGGCCTAAAGCCTATATACTAAAACTTCTAAAGCAAAGAGAACCTCTCCTAGTCTATACTTTAAACCCATTGATTTTTATTTCAAAATACAATTCTCATTTATCTGGTTTCCAAATATATTAGATATAAGAAGTAACAGCTGACAATGGCAGGGATGGAGGGAGAATATAGAATATAACAAGCAGATCAAGAAGCACAAGTGTGCAGTAATTTGGATCCACACAAGGTAAAGTTTCCAAGTTCTTTACATTCAAGAAACTGAAAAATATGAGTTAAAATTCAATAGTGATATTTATAATAACTATCATGAGTCATCAACTCAAGGTTAATTATACTCAGCATACTTTAAGGAAAGAGGGATACACATAATAGAATCCAGAAAGACTTTCATCAAAAAAAAAGCTCGAATGCTTAAAAGGGTCACCCTAAACTAGGACTCATTTTTTGAGGTATGATAGATTATGTATATTATATATATATATATATAATGAAAGATTTCATAAGTTATTAACATTTCAAAATGTTTCACACATGAAAGTGTTTTGTCAGGCATTATGCCAAGTAATCACCTTAATTGCTCCCATTTTCTCCTGGGTACTTCCCACAGTCCAACCCTTTGCCCTTTCCTTTCTTCAATCTATATACTACAGCTTCTTCAATCCTATATGCAGATGACTCCCAAGTCTGTATTTGTGCACACTCCCCTCCTTTAAAGCATCTCAATCTAGTTTTCAGATGCCTGCCCCCTCCCTTCTATTTCTTTTATTCAAGAGCATCACTACCCACTCAAGCACCAAAGCAACAAGCTACAAGCATGTGTCCATATACGAGCTGGTACCAGATTAGCGACAAAAACCCACAGAGCTAAGTATCAGTCAAATCAGGATGCCATGAGACCTGGAGCCTCCTAGTAAAGAAAAGCAGAAATTGAAGGTCAGCAGCCACCCCCATTCATCCTTCCTGCCACATGTGGCATCAGCTACTATAACCTCCTATCCCAACACTGGACCAAGCTGCCGAGTTGCTACTCCTCATGATTGCTGCCATCCATTCTAAAGACTACACATCACACTTGGCCTCCCCCATGACTAAACTAAACTAAGCCATGATGACCCTTCACCCATGCCAGAATCACATCCATTAACACCTCACATTCCTACCTCCCCAGTCACTGTCAAAGATGTAAGCTCTTCCCATACTTCATTGTCCCTCTCATAACTAGTGCTTCCTTTCCCCCCGTAATTCAGTTGCTTACTCCTGCTCCTATTCTCCTTCCAAGCCCTTGCGACGTGCTATCTGGAACTCCAGCCCCCACCTCAGCCCCTCAGGAGATAGCAGCTTGTCTTCCCGGACCTAATCAGAATCAGAATGTTGACCTGGTACCCTCTTGATTCCCACTACCATTTCTCAGCTGTTCCTCCTCTGTGCCTTTGTAAAAACCCCTGTTCTGTTAAAGCCCAAAGTTCTCAGGTATATCATCCTATATTCATCCATACGATAATCATTTTCTACTTACATCCAGGATGTAAACTGAAGACTTTGACACCTGACTTAAAAGCTTTCCTGTCCGGAGTGTCTGGGGGGCTCAGTCAGTTAAGCGTCTGACTCTTGATTTCGGCTCAGGTCGTGATCTCAGGGTTGTGAGACTGAGCTCTGCATTGGGCTCCACCCTCAGTGGGGAGTCCGCTTGAGATTCTCTCCCCCCACACCACCCCCCGCCACTGCCGCTCATACACACGTGTGCTCTCTCTCTCTCAAATAAATAAATCTTAAAAAAAATAAAAAATAAAAAAGCTTTCCTCTCCACTATTCGGTTATGTTCAACATTCAAAGGAAGGACCCCTGCCTCACCCTGATGCCTCAGTCCAAGACTTTCTCTACTCCACTGCCATCTACTTAGCTGGTCATACACTGGACATAGTCTGTGTCCCAAACTGCTCCACCTCTGAAATAATTAATCCTGACATCCCACTCTGACTACAATATCCTACCCTCCCAACTTACATCCACCCTCGATTACTCATATCACACCTGCTGTTCTACCACACTGACATCTCTAGACCACTTTCTCTTTCCATCAGCCTCCCATTTTCTTCAAATCCCATCTTATTCAACTTAGAATCCATGGTTTCTCATTTTAATTATGGTTTCCCAATACTCTAAGTTCTCCTGTCCCTTGTCTTTCTGTTGTATCTGCGGAGTAAATACCAATCTCAGATAAAACCAATTCTACCTCCTCTCTGCCTTCACCAAGGCTGATGAACAATACTGCATAAAATTATAAAACAGTATTATTAAGGCTATTGAATTCATGGCTTTTAACCTCAAATAGGCAGCATTCATACTATTTCCCTAGTGAACTTACTCTTCCATTCTCTACAACTCTTCCAAATTTTTGTCCCTCTTCTCAAATCTCCGAGCCCACCTACTACCCTACACTCAATGTAAGGACTTGCCTCCTGTTCAGATGAGGACTCCTTCAATTTCCTGCCACCAAATCAACAAACCCACTTATGTCTACACCCACCATTTTATCTTGCCTCTCTTAAATTCTTTTATCTGTGCTCTGGATCCCTCTTCAAGGGAACTACATTATCAATTACCCTTCCCCCCATCCAATGGTCTCCTCTTATCAAGATTTAAATAGGTTCAAGTCTCTTCAATCACACACACACACACACACAAATCCACCAAAAAGTCCTTTTCTAGCTATTGTCTTGAACCTTTCTTCTTCCTCACTGCTAAACTACATTAAAGAATTACCAACACTATATCCATTTCTTTAACTCCCATCTATTCCTAGACAACCCTAAACTGGCTTCTGCTTCACTAAATTTCTCTAGTAAAGATAACGAATCTGTCACTAAATCTAATGTTCATTTTAAGTCCTATCTGGCTTGATCCCTCAGCAGTATTCAAAACTGTTGGCATCTTCCTTTGTCATGTCATCATACTGCATTTTATGGTCTCATCCCATTCTTTGACAACTCCTCCATAAGCTCCTTTGCTAATTCCTTCTCCTACTCAATGTCAACTTTCACACTGCATGTCTTCAGGGCTCTGTTTAGCCTTTTCACCTCACTCTCAAATCTCCCTTTGTGTATTGTCATCCATTTCTCTAGTTTCAAACACCAGCTTCAGGCTTATCACTCTCAAATCTAGATCTCCAGCCCACAGGTCTCTCCTGAATTCCAAAATCATATTTTCAAATGCCTATCTATCATCTCCAAATAAGTGCCCTACAGGTACCTCAAACTCAGTGGGTCCAGACTAATCTCCTCCTCCTTTGTCCACAAATGTGTTCCTGCTCTGAGTTTCTTACCTCAGGAAATGCGGCTCCACCATCCATCAGGTGACAACCTGGGTGTCATCTCTAACACCTCCCCCCTTCATTCCCTACAGCATCATTACCAAGTGTGATGACTCTAATTACTAAAGAACAAGTTAGTCCCTTCTTCACCACTGCTCAATCTCCCTATTCCAATCCATGCTAACAAGTCTCTTTCTCAAGCATACATTTTGGCTTAAAACACTGCAGTAGCCCTCTACTGACAGTAGGATAAAATTCAAACTTCTTACAATAATCATAACCACAACAACCATTTGTTGGTGCTTACCATGTGGTAAAAGCCTACTGGCTTTAATCCTTAATAACTTTATAAGATCAGGATACTTAGTTCTTCTTTTAGAGATAATGAGGTAACCTCCATAAGGTTAAGAACTTAATCTTACCAACAATCTGATCTGATCAGAGTGGCATAGCCAGGTTCTGAACTAAGATCTTTTTCCAAAGTCCATATTCTCAATTACCAAACCAAACTGCCATTCAATCTCTTTCACAATGTGACCCTATTTTACTTTTATGGCCTCATGTTCAGTCACTCCTTTCTTCCCACATTCTGCATTCTGGCCTCCTCATAAGCCAACTCTTTCAAATACACATCCTATTCCCTCAGTTCTAATCTTTTATCTGTTCTTCTCTCTTCCTGAACTGCCCTCCCCCCCTTCTTTGTCTAACAGGCAAATTCCTACAAGTTTTTCAAGGCCTGGCTGAAGGACACCATTCTCAAAAGCCTATTCTAATAGCCTTGGACAGAATTAGTTATTCTGTTCTGAGTTCCCAAAGCATTTTATGCAATACTTCCATTATAACACTTGTCTAGCATATAGTACATTTATTCATAAAGTACTAACACTAGTGTAAGCAACTCAGGGACAGGGATTACATCTTATATTTCAAAGCATTGCCAGTGCCTAGTACAGAACCTACCATAATTGTTAAATAAACCAACTAATCAACTATTTGGGAAGACTATGCAACTGTCAGATGTCACTAAAATGATAAAAAAAATAAGGTTTAGAGAGATTAAGTGACTTTCTACAGAGCACATAATAGATAGCATGACAGACAGTGAACAAGAGGTCTTGTGAACTCTAGGGTTCCTTCCACAGCGAGTGTCCTGAGTATTCCAGTTTAGACAGCATTTTATAATAAAGACGTGCTTTTGACTATGCTGCAACTATTGTTACAATCTTCATCCGGATATGCTCTGTCTTTCACACTAGTATGTAGGGACTCTAATTTTATACCATTTGTATTCTTCTAGAGTGCCTAGTATAGTGAGCAATACATGTCATTCAGTACAAGTTTGATACTAAAACCAATTTATTTGAGGGGTGCCTGGCTGGCTCAGTCAGTGAAGCACGCGACTCTTGATCTCAGGCTCATGAGTGCAAGCCCCACACTGGATGCAGAGATTACTTTAAAAAAAAAAAAGAATATTTTTAAAATAAGTAAAGTCAAGTCAATGTATTTGAAGGTAAAAATCATCTACAGAAGACTAAGCCAGTGCTATCTATTTAAAATATATACCCTATCATTTTCAAGCCTGTTTATTCTACTGATCAATAGCCAACTGCTCTCTAGTACAAACCTCTTAAACCCACTAAAAACCAACCCTAGGGCAGGACTCAGGGAAGAAGGTTCAACTAAGAATTAAATATTCAACATGGGTCAAGCACTATACTAGGCATTTTCAAACAGTATTTCAGTGGGAGATTTAGGACCCAGAACTCAGTGTAAATGATATACATACAACACCAACACCTGAAAATCAGACTCAGTTAGTCCAGACAGAATTCATTTATGAAGTATAAGAGAAAAATCCATTACAATCCTTCATTGTTCACCAGGTATCTTACAGTTAAAACCGAAGAGATGTATCCAAGAATATGTTCCCCAAAAATCTCACTTTTTTTTTTTTTTAAAAGATTTTATTTTTTAACAGAGAGAGAGAGACAGCGAGAGAGGGAACACAAGCAGGGAGAGTGGGAGAGGGAGAAGCAGGCTTCCCAAGCAGGGAGACCGATGCAGAACTCGATCCCAGGACCCTGGGATTATGACCTGAGCCGAAGGCAGACGCTTAACGACTGAGCCACCCAGGTGCCCCAAAATCTCACTTTCTATATCAAATGTTAAACACAGTTGTACTAAAGTTAATAATCTATAAATTAATTGAGCAATATTTTAATCTTAAACAGTAACCCTTATTAGAAAGACCAATTAGTAATGTTATAAAATATTTAAAAATAAAGACATATAAGATGAAGCAATAAAAAAACTAAAACAAAAACAAAAAGTCCATTAAGCACTATAAACTAACAGCAAGCAAAATACTGGCAAATATTTGGTTCCACAATTCTAAAAAAACAGATAAAAATCACTAAAATGGGCATATTTAAACTTATAAATGATTAATAGTAGTAGCAATATTCTTTTCTTATGAAGGTTAAATATTTCTTCTGAAATCTTCTTTATATTATTTAGCAAACCATTTTCTTCTTTGATAGAGAAATAAATGTTATCCCAATATATTCTAAATATATTAGGATTCAGTTTAATAAAATGTTAAGATAGCCATGTTTTAAAATAATAGGATCCATCCATTAGCACAATTTTCAAAGACTTCTAGGTTGAACTACTTTAGAGGGGTAGAACTGTGTTTGCTTACTCTGTTATTTTCTAGAACTTTAATAGAACATCTATGTCATACTGTAATAACTCCTCAAAACACTGAAGTATAACAGTACAGTACTGTTTGTACAGTACAACAAAATAGGTAGACAACCCATTATATACCTTCAAGAAATAAATACAAAGGAATATATTCATAAAATTATATTTACAATTATAGAAATACTGAGGCAACTAATGACCAGAGTTATTTAGGCATCCCTATGTGTCACGAACATATAAGACAAATAAGTAGAAGATAAAAATGAGAAGAAAACGGAAAAACATTTTAAAGGAATGCTATCGTTGGTACCTAGGAAAGCGTTCTTAAAAGACGAGAGAAAACAAAGAGAGAAATACAGGCCAAATCTATCTAAATGAAAAATAAGACAAGGGCAGTTTCCTAATTATAATTAAAGTGTTCAATTAACTAACAAACTTCTAAAATCTTAATTGTATCCCATTTGCAAAGACAAACTACACTGTAAAGCAACTATATTTGCCCTTGTAAAATTTTAAAAATAGAATCCAGCTGCGAAAGGAAAAATTAGTTGTTTCTATTCTTTATTTATAAATAGTTTTACAAAAAAAGTCATAGAAAATTTATTTTCTTTTTAAAGCTAGATCCAACTAATAAACCAGAATGTCTCTGAAAGTAGCCAAAAGAAAACTTGAAAAATTCTATCTGGATTTTTGTAAAAAATTGATAAGCACAATGTTCTGTTTTACATTAGGAACAAGCATAACTTAAAGGCAAGAAGGGAAGAAAACTAAAACTCTGTCCACATCCTTATATATGGTCTCCTTTCTAAATAAAAAGGCCAGCATGCAACACAAGCTGAATGTTAACGTCCACTTCTCCCCTCCATTGCCTCACAGGGTACAGGGTAGAAGGTGAACACTTTAGTTGAACAGCTGACCACGCTGGGTACATTTATCTTACTACCATATATACACATACATACATATATATATACATTTATGGATACATGTCTCTCTCTCTCTCTACATATGTATCATTCACTTACCCATTAGATTAACTTCTAACTCTCTAAGCAGAACTTTCAAAAGAACAGAAAAACATATATCCACCTACCTTAGATTTGTCTTAATATATTTTTTCCTGCCACATTTGTTCATTATTAAGACATTTGTAATCAATGCTTTGTTCCTTCTCCGTTTTCTTCTTTATTTATCCTGCAGGAAAAAGTACAGTTGAATTGGGAGATCACAAATTTCATTAAAAAAAAACCCTCAAAAATAAATAAATAAGTAAATAAATAAATAAAATCTCTCCAAACTACACCAGAATACCCCCCAGAATACCCTAATTTCTATAAAACTGAGAAAACAGACTAGAAAGTTAAAACTCTGTATTTTTTTTCCAATCTTACTTTGCAATTTTCTTATCTTCTAGGAGAAAAAATTCAAAAAACGTAAATCATGTGCTATTTATCAGGTTACTTCCTACTTTAGAGAAAGCAGTGCTGTCTGCATCATTGAATATACACTACATATAGCTAATGGTATCAGCTCTATTTTAAAATAATAATCACTTAATAAACTGAGGGAATTTATCATTTTCTTTTATCATTTTCTTAAATTTCATTCCACTGCAACAAATTTGTCAACCATTTTTTATTTACCTTAAATTCAAAAAGGCTTTTGTCAAAGAATTTTAATTCCAAACAAAATATTAACAGTTCCTTTAAAATCTCCTCCAAAAATCTACAGTCCACTTAAAAAGCTGTTTTTGACACTCTAGCAATTAAACCCCATTTTTTTACTAATATCTTTTAAAAATATATATTTGACGAGCTGAATGAAGTAAAATTGGCAAAGAAAAAAGACAAAGGAACTGGGAGCCCTTAATTCACTGTTGACGTGGAAAGGATAAATGTGCACAGCCCTAAGGGTCTTCTAGGCATCTTTGCCAGCAATGGTGGTGCTTAGCCACAGACATACTGCTTTCAGAGTTCCCTCCTAAGTGGCCCCTCTAAAATGGTGTCATACCATCCTAGTCATTTTAAAAACTGAGCCAGTAGGTGGGGCGCCTGGGTGGCTCAGTCGGTTAAGCATCTGCCTTTGGCTCAGGTCAGGATCCCAGCGTCCTGGGATCCAGCCCCACGTGAAGTTCCCTGCTCAGCGGAGAGCCTGTTTCTCACTCTCCCTCTGCCTGCCACTCTGCCTACTTGTGCTATCTATCAAATAAATAAAAACCTCAAAAAAAAACAAAAACAAAAACAAAAAACTGAGCCAGCAGGTTTGCCTAAGGGCACTAGGACAATGGTTATAGCTACCGTCCCTCTGTCCCCCCATCTCCCAGCATAAGGACTACAGGAGATGGTAGGACATTTGAACCAGGCTACCTACAACACAAACAAAAAGCAAGGATGGTGCCATTCCTTTGGATTAAACCTTATTCTGTTATAATCTACTGGTGTTTTACATTGGGATATCTAATCTTCCATAAAAATTGCATAGCCTAGAGGACAGGGAACAGCACAGAAGAGACAGATAATAAAATGTCCCCACTCTCCAGGAGATTGCAATTTAATGAGAGAGACAGACATTTAAACAAAGAACATTGATAATATTATTTGAATAATAACGATCTTGGCACCACATAAAAAGAGAATTAACTCTAATTTCTATATTTCTCTTGGAAATACCATTTTGTTTAATTTTTGAATGAGTAATACGTTCTTATGGTCCAAAATTCATAAAGTAGCAAAAGGTATGCACTGAAGTCCAGGAACAGCTACCCACTTGCTCTTCCCAGAGGCAATCAGCATTGAAGAAAGCACCAGCTTCCAGCCACCACAGCCACAAGATGTCAAAAGGGAAAATGACCAGTCTCATACCAGAATAATGACCATCAGACAAAACTGATTCTGACTCAGGCTTATCAAAGAATGATTTCATCGCAACTACTCTCTAAGAAGTCATCACGGGTTGATTGTCTGCTTGCCAAATCTAAAAGAAAGCTTTCTAGTCCCTATCTTCCTTATATCCCTACAGCAAATTACCAAATTTTCTGCTGCTTGAATTCTTTGAAACACCGTGTTCATGCTTTTCTTCCAAATTATCCAGTACCTTTGTCCTCAGTCTTCTTTGCCTACTCTTTTAAAGGTATTCCCAGGCTTCCCGTCACAAAAATCTGCCCCCCCCAAACACAGAGGCTCCCTAGGCTACTTCGTCCTCACTTGATCAGTCTCAGATCTCATCTGCAGTCTAGACTTCTCTCTCCTGAGCTCCAGCCCACCTGCATCTGCCTATTAGGTATCTCTTAATGGTTTGCTCACAGATCTTCAAGCCCCAAATGTTCAAATCTAACCTCAACGCCCTCACTCTGCATCTCTCCTCTTGCTGTACTCTTATCTCAATGAGTGACATCAACACTGACTCAGCCACCCCATCTGGGAGTTTTCCTCTCCCTTCATTCCCCACTTCCCATGTCCTCAATTCCTGAGGAGACAACGTGTCTAGTGGTAGCAATAGTGTGTGGTATAAAAAGCATTGGCATTGGGGCGCCTGGGTAGCTCAGTTGTTAAGCATCTGCCTTCGGCTCAGGTCATGATCCCAGCGTCCTGGGATCAAGCCCCGCGTTAGGCTCCCTACTCAGCAAGAAGCCTGCTTCTCCCTCTCCCACTCTCCCTGCTTGTGTTCCCTCTCTCTCTCTGTCAAATAAATAAATAAAATCTTTAAAAAAAAAAAAAAAGAAGAAGAAGTAAAAAGCACTGGCATTGGAAGCTGAGCTGGGTGTTACCCTGCCCTGAGTTCTATCGTTTATTAGCTATATGATCTCGACAATAATAAAATCTTCCAAGCATTCTCCTCTGTCAAATGGAGATCTTTTTGTGAGGAGGAAATGTAATAATAAACACAAAATGTCCAACTGTGCTTGGAATATAAGTAAAGACCAACCACTACCTAACTTAGCCTCAATAATTTTATCTCCTGTCTCTTGACTCTGCTCCATTCTCTCCATCATCTGACACTGCTTTAGTTCTGAAACTGATTATTTGACAAGATTAAAGCAATAACTGCCTCTCTATAAAGCAATTCGTCTCTCCCTATAATAACTCCACTTCACTCAAACCTCTCTCAACCTCTCTTAGTCTACTCCACTAGACCGCAACACTCTATTCAAAATACAAAATCCAAACATGCTATTTATTTCCTTATTCAAAATCCTCCAATAGACCCCTTGCCTTAATAAATAGCCAAAGTTCTGAGCATTATAGTTTGAGGTACTTGGTAGAGGCTTAATAAAGTTTGTTGTAAAAGCATTCAAATTTTAAGGTATACCAATCCTTTCCATTACATTAATTTTCCAGGTTCAAAATAACCTTGTGTGGATTTGTAAAGCAGGAGATTCCATTTTACTAAAGTTTAAGCTGTGCATACTTTGAAAAACTCAGCTGCTTTTTATACTATTGATCTCATCCAAATCTGGTTTTAATGTCCTAGAACATGCTACTCTTTGGTAGACAAGGATTGACTTAGGGTCCTCCACTCCCACATACACAAACACCTGAACAGTTAAGAGTTCAGATGTTCTAAATATGTTCTCATACTAAGCTAATTACGATATATATTCTATTTAGCCTAAAACATAATACCCCTTGAATTCATCATATTTCATAATACAGTCTGAGGTTATAATTTTTAAGCTGATCTCCTTATGCCTAAAATCACAAGGGATACTGATGTAATGTCCTGGATACTACCAATTTTCTAAAAAAAAAATTTTTTTTAAAGACCTATCTGCTGGGCGCCTGGGTGGCTCAGTTGGTTAAGCGACTGCCTTCGGCTCAGGTCATGATCCTGGAGTCCCGGGATCGAGTCCCACATCAGGCTCCCTGCTCGGCGGGGAGTCTGCTTCTCCCTCTCACCCTCCCCCCCTCATGTGCTCTCTCTCTCTCTCTCATTCTCTCAAATAAATAAATAAAATCTAAAAAAAAAAAAAAAAAAAAGACCTGCTAAGGAAACTTTCTCTTTTAGAGTGGAAAGGCATATCTTAGATTAGTTTATTATAGACAAATAAGAGCTTATACTAAGAGAGAAAAACGAGTCCCAAATTCTTTTGCCTATATGTGAATTTCTGTGCTGTATCTGGAGAAAAGCCATTTATCATACTGGTAAAAATTTTCTATCATATATCAGGTTTAATTACCAAAATCACATCTGGCATTCACCTTACTCTTCATCTGTGTGTTGCTCTATTCACCCTCTGGCATACAGATTCAATTATTTCATTGTTATCAAGTATCCTTTAATATAGAGCTCTCTATAACAGGTATTTAAAACACACTGATTAGGGGCAGCCTGGGTGCCTCAGTTGGTTAAGCGTCTGCCTTCGGCTCAGGTCATGATCCCAGGGTCCTGGGATCAAGCCCTGCATCCAGCTCCTTGCTCAGCGGGGTGCCTATTTCTCTGTCTCCCCCTGCCTGTTCTTTCTCTGACAAATAAATAAATAAAATCTTAAAAAAAAAAAAAAAGAATCAAACTTCTTGGGCAACTTTACTAGAATATAAAAGCTTACCTAACCAACTTGCTCGTCCCCAGCCAACTCTGTATGAACCAATGTTCTCCATTTCTTCTATAAAACCTACAGTATAGCTAATGCCCATAGTCATCCTCTAGTGTTCCCAAGCACTTCTGTTTCTAACAGCTGTGGTGGATGCTTAGCAAGAGTTGGTCATATTTATCACCTAACTTGATTATGCCAGCTACACTTACTGTTATAATTTTGGAATTCTGTTAAAAATAGAATGTTAAATTATTAAATAGATTTATTTTTTTTTAAAGATTTTATTTATTTATTTGACAGAGAGAGCCACAGCGAGAGCAGGAACACAAGCAGGGGGAGTGGGAGAGGGAGAAGCAGGCTTCCCGCGGAGCAGGGAGCCCGACACGGGGCTCGATCCCAGGACCCTGAGATCATGACCCGAGCCGAAGGCAGACGCTTAACGACTGAGCCACCCAGGCGCCCCAATTACTAAATAGATTTAAAGAGCAGCTTCTGTGAAAACTAAATTGATTGCTTTGGAAAGACAAAGGCAGGCTGCTTTTTAAAAATCCTGCTTTGGGGCTAGATATTACAGTTGGAAAGAACTATAAAATGTTGGGGAAATATGACAAATATGTAGAGTTCTTTACAAAGACACTTGCAAAACAACCTAAGTTCTTGCTCTACTTTCAAGAACCCAAAAATAGAAATTGTAAATTATGCATTGAGATAGTTTTTGCAGGAAGGGCGGGGGGAAACAAAAACAAAAACAAAACAACCAAAAAAACCCCACATTGCAATTAGAATAGTCAAAATAAAAAGGAAAGAATCTGGACTAGAAGGCGATATACCTCTCATGGAAGCAGGAAGAGAAAGAGACCACAGAAAAGTATATCTGTTTCTCTGGTTCCGGGATGAAGCAAGGTTTTAGTTCCTTGAGAAAGTAATCTTCAGAGTCAATCATGATTTAAATAACAATAGCGAGTAAGGTTTGAAAGATAAGGGAAGAATATGAAGTGCATATAGAGCTGTTCTTTTCAATCACATCAATTAAAAAACTAGGGAGAAGGCAGGGCTGGGTAGAAGAGAGAAGTAATTCCAAAGAGCCAAATACCTGAAGTTGGCAGGGATGAGCCTATGCTTACTCTGCATTTTAGGCGAAGGAGAGGAGTACAGGAGAAACAAAGTGGGAGAGTAGTGACAGGAAATTATACCACTTTTAGTTTTGTAATGATTGTGAAACAAAGTTAGAATAACTTTCAAATAACATTCTTTATACTGTTGTGTAAAAACAGAAGTAGCCAGAAGCAGTACTTATAAATAATTGAGACACTTGCAAATAACATCTTTAATTAAACATGAATCATATAGAAAATCAGGTGGCTTTTAATAGAGTCAAGGCCACTCCAATTTAATTGCCTCAGATACCTATTATTTAAGAAATCTTAACGCTTTATAAAAATCACCAAAGGATTAACTATTTCAGCCTCTCTTTCTCAATTGATTCTCCACCTGGCACCTGCTTTTGGCTATTTCACAGTCAATGAACAGCAAAACTGGCTGGTAAGGAGGAAATGAAAAATAAAATTCAAATAATCATGGCCTATCTCCACCTCTCCAAATACCACCCTCTCCACCACCACCACCACTTCATGGAAGGAAACAAAATTTAAAATCTTCTGTGGGTTATTTGCTTGACTGGAGTCATTGCTGGGTTTTCCTGTTCATATTGTATTTCATTACTGCGTTTTAAGTACATTTCAAAACACTTACCTACACAAAGTACAACTCTAGTGACTATTAACTAATAAATCTGGAAAAGAGTAGATAAGACACTTGAATTAGCTAAAGTTCAGAGAAATGAATTTCAACATTATTATACTTACCTAGATTGGTCCTATTGTGTGTATATGAACAAAACTGCTACCTTTCTAAGTCCAGAAACATGCTTAAATAGGTTAATTTTAACACCTCCATCAATTTTAAAAGGAGTGAAAGCATCCCAACTGTCCATATACAGTATCATAGGTCTTTATGCATGATTCAGTTTCTCCAACACCTGAGCTAGAAGCTTTTATAATATCAATGTTAGAATATAAATTCCACTTTAAGACATTTCAAAGCAAAAAAATAATTTTTGTGCTATCAATGAGAAAACCTGAGGTTATTTGAGATTATGAACAAAACTGTATGACACGGGGGCGCCTGGGTGTCTCAGTCGTTAGGCGTCTGCTTCGGCTCAGGTCATGATCCCAGAGTCCTGGGATCGAGCCCCTGCATCGGGCTCCCTCCTCAGCGGGAAGCCTGCTTCTCCCTCTGCCCGCCGCTTCCCCCTGCTTGTGTGCCCTCTTTCACTGTGTCTCTGTCAAATAAATAAAATCTTAAAAAAAAAAAAAACAACTATGACACGAGTTAGGATGGTCTAATTTTAAGTCCGCTGTGTTAAAAAAAAAAAAAAGGAGCTTCAAGAAGAGAACTTTGAAAAAACTGGTTTTGGGAAATTCTCAAATTATCAGAATCACACGAGTTCCGTCATTAGTATTTCACATGACCGACATTTAATGGGTCTGGCTGTATCACTGCTCAGAAAATACACGTGAAGATGATTCCCACTTTGGGAGAACTGGGTGCTTCAAAAGAGCCTCACAAAAGAGCGGCTAGTAAGGTTTTTCTAAGAGGCAAGTATCCTCCCTTACCAGTGAGACAGTTATTCCATCAGTCTTTAAGCAAAACTCCCACATAACTTCCTAGCCTATGTTTTTCTTCAAAACTGTTTTATATACCCCTTGCCAACAATTTTCTCTAACACCCCGGGGAAAGCCAATCAAAAGATGTGCAAGATTAAAAAAAAAAGATGTGCAAGATAGATATTGTATTTTAAGTACATTTTTAAACTTCACTGTAACAGAATTATACCAATAAGACTCAAGTTGTCTTCATGAGTAGTATCAAGATAAAATCCCACTAGTGTTATCCTTAAGTTTTCCTTTTCATTCCCTCTTATTCTCTACTGGATATCCTAACACGTTAGAAAAAGAAAACCCATGAGTGAAAGGATTTACTCTTACAAACAGTTTACTCTTTATTAAACAGTTCTCATGGTAGAAAGTATTTTAAAAACCTTAAATATTCTTTAAAAGGAAATTAACAAAATGATTTAAAATGTTTATTTCTACCTGTGTGTAATGGACAAAAAACATAACCCCTGAAATTTTTACTTTTATGATCTGTATTGATAATGTTAAAATTGCATTCAATGTACAATAACTTTTCAAAGTTGACTTTTATATATGGAATCCATTAGTTCAGTAAAGTAGAAATACTTAACAGAATTCAAAGACATTTCAGGCTTACTTCCTTAATGACCAATGTTGACTGCATGTCAAAATATCAGTGGTTCAGCTGTGAAGTGTTTGCATTGCTCAGTTTTACTTTTAAAGTCTATCTAAATGGAACAGGACATTTGAGCGCTTTCCAACGGCCTACTACATCAACAATAAACCTGGCTCAATTTTCTGGCCCAATATTAACTTGCAGAGAATATCAAGTTAGGGAAAACATCAGAAATATGTACCTACTGGTCAAGTTTCAGTCAGGATTCCTTATGTGTATTTATAACCTGAAACTCTTCCCTACTTTTCATGGAATTCTAAAAAAGATTTCACCTTTTAATCATGCAATAACTTGCCTCAGTAGGAAACTAAAGTTGTCTATGGAGTCTGGAGTTTCTTGAATTCATTAGTAGAAGCAAATTTCATTAACCTTCCAGGACAAAGCAAAAACAAAGACTGAAGAGCTCCTCTGTGTTTATACATCCAATAAAAATTTATTCATATACTCTTACAAGATATGTACACAAAACATCAGTGTAATTACAACTTCACACTCACCAAAATGATTCCAGGTTGACCAGCAAGTCACTGGGAAAGCATCTGCTTACACTGATCTACTTATAGATTCATACCAAAAATGTTTGTGTAATTATCAACACTTAATATGACAATGCTTTAAGTGTTCACTCATTCAGGATCAAACCCATAAATATCTTTCTAAAAGTTGTATCTGGATCACTAAGCAGTTCTTTAAACATTATTTTTTTAATACTTAGCTTTTATTGGCCAAAACACTGCAATTTAACTTCCTTGGGAGAAAAAAAGTTCAAAGATTTAAAGACTATGAAGGGAAAGCAGCTTGTTATCCAAAAATAGGACCAAGAGTAGGAGAAAAATGTGGTACCCAAAGGAAAAAAACAGAGAACATGAATTATTAATGTAATCTAATACAATTTTCATACCGGACCTCTACCGCCGTGCATCTAGGTTTAGATTTATTTAAAGGGAAGGTGGCTGCACTCTCATCAGCCCGCCAAATTAGGCTTGAAAGGAAGAAATTTTAAGAAGTTACATACCTAAGAGGTACTGTTAAAAGGGGCTCTCTCAGTTTTAGTCAGACCTTCAGGCTGATCCTGTAAGTCAGAAGTGCTGAAAATTTGATCGTAAATTGACAGCTGCTTTACTAAGCGCAGTGCAGGAAACGTCTCGGCGATTTTAAAGTTAGGGATCTGGTATACGTGCAATAGGCAGAAGGATAAAGAACTATGCTGAATAATGTGTCTATTCCCTATTCAGCATGTTCTGGGAACATTGCTAGGTGGGTTCTAAAAAGGCACAAATCAAAAGTAAAGAACAAGAGAGACTGCAATTTCTATCAGCTGTCACGGTTTTGTTCCTTCTTCGCAGCTATTATAAAAGTCTTCGCACTATTTGATCACTCTGTCGTGTCTGGGGACTAAAGTGACTCAACATAGGTGTCCCCGACTGTTTCGGAGAAGAAATGGGTTAACGCTGATTTATATCTAAACGGAATACATAAAACTGAGATAAAGGTGCTACTAATCGTCGGCTGTGGTAAATAAAACCAACGTCCTTACTTCTCGTTTCTTTTTCTTCTCAAAGAGGGAGGACCACACTCATCAGAGCAATAAGGCTTTTTCCGAAAGACTTGTCCAACTTGTACCAAGTTCAAAAGGAGTCAGGGAGGGAGAGCAGAGGAGCCCGCTTCGCGCTCGGGAGAGCTCTGCCACCACCCCGAAGGCAATCCGCGAGCGGAGCAGGAGACGGGAGCGGCTGCCGCGCCGCGGAGAAGCCCCGGGGTCGGCACCCCCGGCCGCGCAGCTCCCGCTCTCCCCGCTCTCCCCTCGGCCCCGGGGCCCCCGCGCCCCCGCTCCGGGGCCCCGACGCCCCCGACGTCCCCGACCCTTCGACCCGGCTCCGCTCCACCTCCTGCTTCCGCCTCCTGCGCCGCGTCGCCGGCTCCGAGGTCTCTGGGTCCGGGGCCGGCGCGCCACTTACCCGCCGCGATGGGATTTACGTAGCGGACCTCGTCACTGATTACGGACGGGAGGAGGTGGAGACGGCGAGCCCGACCTACGCCCAGCAACCCGGCGCCGGCGCCGGCGGCGGCCCCACGTCGCCCCCACGTCAGCTCTGATGCGGCAGCCGCGGCCTCCCCGCCGAGCCGGTACAAAAAGTAGCGCAGCAGCCGACCGAACCGCGTCCTCGCGCCCCGCCCTCCCCTCCCCTCCCCCACTCCGCGACTGCCTCCCCGGGGACGCCCGGCGGAAAAAAAAACAAATCCAACTCGAACTCTGCCCCCTGCCGGCCGCCAGCGGGAGTGCAGCGCTGACAATCCAACAATTAAATGGAACGGGGGGAGGGGAGGAGGGGGAATGAGGGGCCAGAGGGCGGGGCCTAAGTGGTGGGGAGGAGGGGCAAGGCGAGGCCTCAGCGTGGAGAGGAGGACCGGGGCAGGGGGCGGGGCCGGGAGGAGGAACTGGGCTGCGGGGGTAGGAAGACCGAGTCCAGGGCTGGGTCTGTGGGGCGGCCTGGATACCGGAAGCTGCGCCGCTGCGCGCGCGGCGGAAGGCTAGTTAGCTGCAAGCAAAGCTAACGGCGGTCGCTGTTGCTTCTATCTCGAGGTCGCTTATTCTCTAGACTGCCGGCTAGGGCGCTCCAGTCCCAACCCAAGCTGAGGTCCCGAGCTTTGTGGGTCCTTCCCGGCCAAGGGCTCATCCTGCGGAGCCTTAGGGCTGCCGAGCGGACCCCTGGGGCATCCCCACCCCCGCGCTCCTGCAGTGTCTGCCATCCTGAAAAACGCTTGTAGGTCCCGGTATCCCTCTGGACTTGAGCCTTCAGGGAAGTCCAACTGGCTGTCCTTGTTCCCAGCCTGCTGCTGCTTCCCCAGTGACTTTGTGCGTCAGGGTCGTGGGCAAACAGCGATAGAGTACCCACTTGGAGATGTGACAGGAAAGGAAGGCTTTTGGTGAAAAGCAAAAATTCCTGCCTGTAAAAGAGGAAAGTTTAGTCTTCAGCCAGTGGAAACCGAGGGCTTCCCAGTAAGCGGAACGTTTCTGACCCGCTGTACACTAGGAACCCATTTATGCATACTCAGAACGTACTAAATTGTAAGGCTGAGTAAGCCCTCCGAAAGGGAGGCTTTGTAGCCTAAAGATAAGCCTCTTTACGTTCAGGAAAAAGGAATTCAAACAATTATTACCACCCAACTTTATAGTACTCGGGAATGTGTCATGCGGGAAACCAATGTGAAGGACACCACTTGAAAAGTTGCAGAGAAAGAATAAAAACATCAACGTAGTGCAGGTAGAGAAGGGAAGATTTGTGAAATATTAGGATCTCTGTAGAGTGGGAGAAAATTCTGAACTCTCTTCAGTCCCTCATTTTGGCCAACCTGAACTACTTCCAGCTGTAATGTACACTAGCAGAGATAAGAATAAAAATCCAGTAAGTTCACTTCCCCTTTGGACATAAGCAGAATTCCGAAGTTCCTCCTTGCAATGTAGTAGACCATGCTCATCTCCACCGCTTGTAAATATTAATTTCTTAATGAGGAACATTAGCAAGTTAACAAAATTAAATTTAAAGAACAGCCAAGTCCTTTTCGTGTATGTGATTAAACAAGGCTGGCACAGAATATTTATATGTAAATAATACAACTCGTTTTAGCTCAGGAAAAAAGGGGTCCTTAGAAGGGAAGAGAAAAAAAACGATTATCAAACACTCAAAATCTTACCATTCACTGTGGTCAAAGTTGACCAGTGCAGGATGAGTAGATTTTTAGCTCCAAGAATTGAGTGGAAATTGTGATCATTCACCTTCCCCAAAACATTGCTCTCCGCCTACTTGTTTGTTGCTAAACTTTTTTAACAAAGTACACATTCTTTACATAGAATCTATTAAAGGACTTAAGATATGAGTGGTAAATCAACAAAACACTAAGATGTAACTGTCAAATCCTTGAGAGTAGGGGAAGAGTACATGGGGTCTGAAGAGAAAGGGCATGACATAGCAGCTGGAAAGGTACCTGCAGTTTCTTATTGCTGCTATGACAAATCACCACAAACTTAGTTACTTTAAACACGTATTTATTATGACAGTCCTATAGGCCAAAAGTCCAATACACATCTCACTGGGCTAAAATCAAGGGGTTGTCAGCCCCAGGGAAGAGTCCATTTCCCTGCATTTTTCATCTTCTAGAGACCACCCCACAATTCCTTGGTTGATGGCGCTTTTCCTCCATCTTCAAAGCCAGCAACAGCTGGTTGAGTCTTTCTCAGGCTGCCATCTCTATGATTGTGTCTCTCACTTCCCTCTTTTACTTATTAAAACCTTGTGAATACGTTAGGCCCACCCTGATAATCCAGGATAATCTTCCCATATCAAAATCAGCTGATTAGCAACCTTAATTCTATCTATAACCTTAATTTCCCTTTGCCATGTAATCTGATGTGTTCACAGGTTACAGGGATTAGGATGTAGATATCTCTAGGGGGTGGGGGCATCAAGAAACTTGAGCTCTGAGGACAAATCACCTGGCTCTCAGGGTTATCCTTTGCAAATAATTCAAACATTTGATTAGAAATGCCAATAACTGATTTTTCACTTTCTCATTACCTATGATAAAATAAAAAATTTTAAAATGGGATATCAGGGGTAAAGAAGAGCAGGTTAGGAAGGCATAAATTTTTGAAATGGGAAGAATAATAGTATCTACTCCTTAGCATTGTTATAAAGATTAAATAAAGTATCCACCATAAAGTATGTGCTCAATAAAAAATCTAGCCAAAATGGATGGTGGGTATTAAGGAAGGGCACTTATGAGGAGCACTGGGTGTTATACCTAAGTGATGAATCACTAAATACTACACCTGAAACCAATTTTACCATATATGTTAACTAACTAGAATTTAAATAAAAACTTGAAACGGGTGGGAAAGTTAGCTATTTTTATATTGCTCCAGTGTCCTGGTCTTTGGGTTCCTCAGCTAGGCAATGTTTCTCTGTTGAGGAGGGACAACTAGATCGCCTACTTTCCTGAGAAAACACAGGCTGTCAGTCACACCCATATACTCTCCCTTCACATCAAAATATCTCAAATCATCCCTCCCTTTAAGGGGACAGGAGGAACACCTTCCTCCTTTCCTTTCTAAATCCAGTTGTAAGATAGGTGTCATTTCTTTCCCATATCAGCTGTCTTATACCTTTATTCTCTTTCTTCCTCTTGGCTCCTTCTCTCCCTGAAAATGTATTCATATCTTGCCTCTACTTGAAAACTGTTGACACTGCTTCTCCCACTAGGAAGGCTACAGGGTTGCCTCAGGGTTACAGCTCTAGGGTTCACATTCATATTACATTTTTTGCCCATATGCCTTTTGTTCCATCTCTCACTATCAGACTTTTCAAGAAAGAAGGCACTTGCCAAATCCACTTCCTTACCACCTACTCATTTCTTATTTCCTGGCTATTTGATTTTTACCCTCTCCAATCCCCCCAACCCCCTACTGGCCCAGACCGCTTTCTGATTACAGAATCTGAAATTTTTTTTTTAGTCTTCATCCTCCTTGACCTCTTTTCCTAATTAATCCTACCTTCTTAATGTCTCCTACCTGAGTTTCCACGACATTTAACTCTCCCGGTTTCACTCATCTTTGCTTCCCTAATGTAGATAGTTCTGAATTTTCTGCTCTTAATCATCTTCTTCTACATTGTCCTCCTTAGTTATTTCATCATTCTCATTTCTTTTTTTTTTAAGATTTTATTTATTTATTTGACAGAGAAAGACACAGCGAGAGAAGGAACACAAGCAGGAGGAGCGGGAGAGGGAGAAGCAGGCTCCCCACCGAGCAGGGAGCCCGATGCGGGGCTCAATCCCAGGACCCTAGAATCATGACCAGAGCCGAAGGCAGACGCTTAACGACTGAGCCACCCAGGTGCCCCTCATCATTCTCATTTCTATTGAAAAGAAAATTCTTAAAGTTATACCCCAACCGCCCAACTTCTTTTCCTAGCACCAAATCATATTTCCAACCACCTGGTAGAAGTTTCCACTTGCATGGCCTATGATCATTTACAACTCAACAGATTCAGAACTACCTATATCATCTTCCCTCTCCATTCTTGAACCTTGGTTTTTTGTTTCAACAATGTTACTGGCACTTTTCAGTTCTCAGTCATCCTGCCTCTAAACCTTGGAGTCATTTTGGTCATTCTTATAGCATTGAGGATCCATTTGGGTTATAATTTGAAGTGTTTGCTATGTTCTAGGCCCTATGCTAACACGGGAATTTGCATCCATCCTTTCCTTCTCATTCCCACTATTACCAGTGACTGGGGTCATGCTTGCTTCCAATACAGTTCACCTAAATATTTCTACCTGGTTCATTTTCCCAATACATTGCTCTTGTGATTTGATTTCTTTTTTTAAAAATCTTGAATGATTAGAGGGACTGGGACTTAAGGGGTCAAAGGTAGAAAGGAGATTGAATTCCCTTTGGTGGCCTCTTGAATTTTCTACTACACGTATGCACTACCTATTCTAAAAACATAAAATTTTAGTTAAAACAAAGCAAAAAACTTCAGTGAGTTCTTATTGGCTAACTAAGTCCAAATATCTTAGTTTAGCATAAAGCTTTTCATGATGTGGGCCCAACTTAAGTTACAGCCCTATTGCATGTTAGTCCCTTGTGTTTTGTACCACACTCGGTCCTCATACTCTGATGTCCTGTGGCACATCAGAGTCATGTGAAGAGCTTGTCAAAAAGATGCACCCAGGCGGTAGGCCCACTTACTGAGTCAGAATCCCCAAAGAAAGGGCCTGTATATCTACCTCTTTTAAGATCTCCAGATCAGTCTAGTGAGCTACAAGATTATTACGAGGCAGCACTTTAGCCAAACCTTACTACTTACTGTTCCAGATAATTACCTTACATTTTCTGATCTTTTTTGCTTTTAAAGATTTTTTTTTTATTCATTTGTCAGAGAGCGAGAGAGAGTACAGGCAGAGGGAGAAGCAGGCTCCCTGCTGAGCAAGGAGCCCGATGCAGGACTCGATCCTGGGACCCCAGGATCATGACCTGAGCCCAAGGCAGACACTCAACTGACTAAGCCAGCCAGGTGGTCCCTTTTTTGCTTTTATTCACTCCATTTTCTCACCAATTCTCTATATCTGCCTGTTAAAGATAAATCCTGTAAGATACAGCCTACATACTATCTCCTTTACTCATCCTCTTTAGAAATTATCTTCTCTTTGCTTACAATTAATGATTGTTGTTGGGGATCTAGAGTCAGAATTCAGAGTTAAAATTCCAATTTTGATACTTTACTAGCTGTGCAAATGTTAGGCAAGT